GATGAAGTCAAAACTCTCAAAATAATTTATAAACTTGATTCTATAGCCCAGAGTTCAGGTTTTCTATAATTTAAGAGACTCAGGGTCACACCCTAAGATCCATTCAAAGGGAAGAAATGTCTTACTCCTGTACAGGTAAAAAAGGGATCATTTCCTCCTCCGATGGCCATGCATAGCTCCTTTAGTCCCCTCTTTCTCTGTCCATGTCATCCTTCTCCAGGTGGTGAAACAGCAACTAGAGGTAGTAAACCAAGGCGCTAGGAGTCTGCTACCATTGGAAATTTCAGAAAATGGACTCCAATAAAAGTAACCTTCCACATACCTGCAATAGCTCTTCTTAAAACCTATGACCCTATTCTTTCCCATTTGAAGTACCTTTAAAAAAATGTCTGCAATAGTTATTCATACTCAACTGGTTCCAAAATAAACAGGAGAAATGGAGAACTATAAAAAAAATCTTAGAAGACATCAAACGGGCCAAGAAACATGATAAATATACGTTGGAAAGTTGCAATTAAATCATGTGTCACAAAAGAATTAAAACAGAGGAAACTTGAGATGTCCAAAATATTTTACTTTCACTAATTTCAGTGAATCAAACGAGGAAACGTTTCCTCATGTACATTGAGAACCACCTCCCAGCAGTGCCACCCTGGTTTGTCCTGACCCCTGTGGAGATGGCATACTGTTAGTGAAATAAATCTGAAACCTAGTGTTATGTCACTCCCTAGTTGAAAACCTTTGATGGCTCCCTAGGCCAACACAGTAAAGTTTAAGCTTTGTGGATAGCCTTGAAAGGCCTCCAAAATTTGACTCTAATTTACTGTCCAGTCTTATTTTCCACTCCAATTCTCTGAATCCATCACAACAGAACCAGCACCTTCCCATCTCCATTCTTGGGCAACCTATTTCCTCAGCTTTGAACATCTTTCTGCCTATCACCTGTTGAAATTCTATTCCTCCTTCAAAGTAGTAAGGTACATTATTGGTAAGACCTCAGCCTCTAAATCCAGGTCCAGACCCATTAGGATTCTACTAGTTTAATCCCCTGAGCAAATACACCAATAGAACTGTTTCCTTACCTGGGAGCTGGCATACTACCTGTGGTGCTTTAAGGAGGTGGCGACCTTAAGGATTAAGCATAATAGTTACAAGTTATCTATTTCCATGCCTAGGGCATAGTAGAGACTTAATAAGTGTTTAGCCAGCTCAGTGGCTCAGCCTGTAATCCTGCGCCTTTGGGAGGCTGAGGTGAGTGGACTGCCTGAGCCCGCAGGTTCGAGACCTACCTGGGCAACTTGGCAAGACCTCATTGCTACAATAAATCAAAAACTAGCCGGGCGTGGTAGTGCGTGCCTGTAGTTCCAGCTACTTGGAAGGCTGAGGTGGAAGGATCGCCAGAGCCCAGCAGGTCAAGGCTGCAGTGAGACTCCAACTCAAAAAAGAAATAAAATAAAATAAGAGTTCACTGCTAAGCCATCCTACTCCCCCAATCAATACTCTTACCCTTCCATAAGTTCCCACACCACTTTAAAAATATCATAGTACACTAAGAGCACTAATATCCTACAGGATACTCCAGCCTGGGTAACACAGCAAGACTCCATCTCCACACAAAATAAAAATAAAAAAAAATTCAGCCAGTGTGGTGGCACACGCCTGTGGTGCCAGCTACTTGGGAAGTGGAAAATTGCTTGAAGTTACAGTGAGCTATGAACAGTGCCACTACACTTGAGCCTGAGTGACACTGTGAGAGTCTATCTCAAAAAAAAAGAAAAAATTTTACAGGATGCTCATTATTCATGTATGTAGTTGACTCCTCCATTAGGTTACAGACAAGATGGTCATGGAGATGGATTTCTAAATTTCTACTACTTACTACTTGTACAAGTTATTTGACTGCTCGGAACCTGTTTCTTCATTGATAAAATGTACAAAGGTTGATCCCTTACAGTGTTATATTAAGAGGTTCAAGAGTTGGTGTACATCAACTGCCGGGTGTAATGCTTGACACATAGTAAATTTCAAAGAACGTTTAATGGCAATCTGGATAATGAATCTGAACCAGCAATTGCTTATAGAACTCATAAATATAAGATGCATTTCCCTCAATAAATCCAATTTCATAAAGCAATCATAATTCAACTTGAACCTGCTACCCATCTCTTATCTGACGTAGATGTTCACTAAAGACACAACGGCGTTTTCTTTGCACTGTACCTCAGAAATGCTACTATATATTCATATTCATGTTCTGCCAGCATGAGGCGTAAGTAACAAAGTACATCATGACTTATAACTCACATCACACTTAACAACATGGCTTACCCGTGAAGAACCGTAAGGGATTAAGTGAAATGGGGGTCCATGAAATTGGAGTCTACCAGGAAGGGTAAGCGGCTGTCTGCTGTTTACTCATTCTTTAATTCTAATTTGCTATGTCATCAATTTCGCTAATGAAAATGCCAACCAAATGTCAACTACATCTACGATAGCAGTTTCCCATGTATATACTTCCAACCCACCCATCAATTTAAGAGCAAGAAAAAAAACCACTTCAAAATTAATTATAGGGAAATCTAATCAAGGAAATTACAAAAAGTGAGAACTCATCAAAACAAAAAACAAGCCGGGCTGGGTGGCTCAGCCTGTAATCCGCGCCTTTGGGAGGCTGAGGTGAGTGGATTGCCTGAGTCCGTGGGTTCCAGGCCCGCCTGGGCAACTTGGTGAGACCTCATCTCTACAATATATCAAAAAATGAGCTGAGTGTGGTAGCGCGCGCCTGTAGTTCCAGTTACTCGGAAGGCTGAGGCGGAAGGATCACCGGAGCCCAGCAGGTCGAGGCTGCAGTGGCCGGAAGTGGCCACTGCACTCCAGTCTGGGTGACAGAGTGAGACTCCAACTCAAACAAACAAACAACAAAATAACAAAAAAACAAAACCATTTATTATCCCAGCATTTGCAGTCCACTATCAACTGTACACTGATACTTACATAGGTTGTACAACACAGAAATCAAAAGCCTGGGAAAGGGTCTGTAAAGATGGATCTGACTGTAAATCTGACACCACCACTTTCTAGCTGTGAAACCTAAGCATGTTATTTCTTAAACCGGATTCCCTTCATCTGTAAAACAGAACCTGTAGCAGCATGAACCTCACAGGGCAGTTTAATTAAATGAGATTATGTATGCTAAGTGCTAAGGAAACCTGAGTACTAAGGTTCTTCATAAATACTGCTGAATGAATCAATATTTAGCACACACTTTTTTTTTTTTTTTTTTGAGTTGGAGTCTCACTCTGTCGCCCAGACTGGAGTGCAGTGTCCACTCCCAGCCACCGCAGCCTCGACCTGCTGGGCTCCGGTGATCCTTCCGCCTCAACCTTCCAAGTAGCTGGAATTACAGGCATGCGCTACCACACCCAGCTGATTTTTTGATTTATTGTAGAGATGAGGTCTCACTGCCCAGGCGGGTCTCGAACCCACGGACTCAGGCAATCCACTCACCTCAGCCTCACAAAGGTGTGGGATTACAGGCTGAGCCACCGAGCCTGGTTTAGCACACACATTTTACATCAAGAAATAAGTGTGCTATAACACTAGTTCGACCCTAAGCTACATAATGATTAATAGCAGAAATTCTGCTTGGGATCATTTTACAAAGCGCCCTTCTGATACCCATGAGTTCACTGGATCTCCAGAACATCCTGGGGGGTGGGGGTGGGGGAATATTTTAAAGACTGGTATCTCAGAGATAAGGAAAGTGGTAATAAAGTGTCAAGGAGATTGGGCGCGGGCGGCTCATGCCTGCCATCCCGGCACTTTGGGAGGTGGAGACGAGAGGACGGCCTGAGTCCAGGGGTTCGATACCAGCCTGGGCAACTTGGTGAGACCTCGTCTCTACAATAAATCAAAAAATCAGCCGGCCATCATGGCATATGACTGTGGTTTCAGCTACTCGGAAGGCTGAGGCGGAAGGATCACCTGAGCCCCGCAGGTAGAGGCTGCAGTGGCCTTGAACGTGCCACTGCACTCCAGCCGGGGCAAAAGTGAGACTCCGACTCAAAGAAAGAAAGAAAGAGTACTCCTCTTAACAAATAGCACTGGGGCAATGATATATTCATATACTTTTAACATATTATTTAAAAAACTCGATTCACACCTCGCACCATATACAAAGATTAATTCAAAATAGATCATAGTTCGGAATGTGAAACCTAAAGCCAAACAATTTCCATAAGAGCTGGGTACAGTGGCTCACGCCTGTCATCCCAGCACTTTGGGAGGCGAGAGGACTGCCTGAGCCAGGGGTTCGAGACCAGCTGGGCAACTTGGCGAGACCTCATCTCTGCAGTAACTCAAAAAGTCAGCCGGGCGTGGTGGCACGTGCCTGTGGTTCCAGCTACTTGGAAGGCTGAGGCGGAAGGATCGTCTGAGCCCAGCAGGTCGGGGCTGCGGCGGTCGTGAGCATGCCCCTGCACTCCAGCCCGGGCGACAGAGAGAGACTCCGACTCAAAAAATAAAATAAAGAGCCAAGGCCACCCACCCCGGTGGTTTCCCTCACCCACTCTCCAGCTCGGAGCTCAGGGACCAGGGCCCGCGGCTCTTAACGTCACGTCCCGCGTGCAAACACCACCCTGCAAGTT